CCTCCTCCTCCTCTCCTCCTCCTCCTCCTCCTCCTCCTCCTCCTCCTCCTCCTCCTCCTCCTGGGTGTGGACGCCTGCGGGATGGCTTCGACCCGAGGCACTAGAGCCCTCTCACCCCACACCTGCTCCGCTGGCATCGGGGTGCCTCTCCTCGGCCGAACCGTGGGCGAGCTGGCCACGGCAGAATGAGCTCCAGCACGTGGTCATGGAGGCGTCGAAGGGGCTCTAAGTCTAGAAAGCGTGTTTCGGCGCTTGCCCCACTCATTCTGTTTACAACATCTGGGGAGGGCGAACGCCTTGAAAGCTCGCATATGGAGCGTGGTGCGGCCGCTGAACACGAAAATCCTACAATTCGCGCTGCCACCTGGTTCCTTGGGGGCAAAGGAATGGACGATTCGGGGGCGACGCTGGTCACGCCCACGGGCATCAAGAAAGGTGTCCACCAGGTCGGATGGCGGCGCGCGCTCACGGTTGCATGCGCGGCGGAGGGCTTCCAGTTGCATCCAGTAACGCTGCCATTGAAGATCTGCCAGGCCCCGCGACGCACCCCGTGAGCTGGTATCTGCCCACGGGGAGCGCGGCCGCGACAAGGAATGCTGACAGCTGCGTCTTCGCCGTTACCCTCCTCCTCGTCCTCCTCCTCCTCCTCCTCCTCCTCCTCCTCCTCCTCCTCCTCCTCCTCCTCCTCCTCCTCCTCCTCCTCCTCCTCCTCCTCCTCCTCCTCCTCCTCCCGATGCTGATCATGAGGGCCACGCCATCGGCCCCCGTCGCGCGGCACAGTGCCACGGCGCTGCGGGCAGGCCCGTTGGCTGCGTACGCAGATGGACCCCACGCGGGAACTCCAGGACGGCCCCGCCGCGGTTGACGGCGCGACCGCGGAGGCGCCCCCAAAGGCTGGGCGGGCCGCCACCGTCCCTGGAAGACAAGGTCGGGTAGTCCCTGTACAGATGTCCTTCCATTTGTTCCTATTCATCCGGGCCCTGCGGAGACTCTGCCCCCCCCCCCGAAACAGAACCCCACGGATCCGCGGCCGCGGGGGCCCCTTGAACGCCCCTGCGGGAGGCCCCCCACAAGCTTTCCAGAGCTCCTGGAAGCCCCTGCGAGGCCTAGGCAACGAGCCCAAATCAGTAAATCAGTCAGGAGGGCGGCCGAACGGCCCCCCGAGGGCCCCGAGAAGCACCAGACACCCACCTGACGCCCGAAGACGACCCAAAAAAGACCCCAAAAAGGCTTTGCAAACGCAGCACAACATTGATTTTCAATGGCTTGCGCATGATTTGGGAAATGCTCTGTTCTTTGGTCCTCGGGGCGTCCGAACCGCCCAGAAGGCCTGAAAATCTCACCAAAAACACTCCGAAAGGGCGGCCAGACAGATCCCCGAGGCGGCACCACAGGGTTCAACCAAGATGGCCCGAAGAGAGCCCCATGATGGCCCAAGATGGCCCCTAGACGCCGGCCGAAGCATTCCAAATCGGAGGCCCCTAAAAAGCGCCCAGGAGGGCTCCAGAAGGCCAAAAGAAGCCCTTAAAAAGGTTCGTGATGCCCCCAAGAGGCTCTCCAAGGATGGGCCTCCGCAGAAGGAGCTTAGGAGGGTGGGGAAGGATTCACAAGGTAGGGCAGCAATGAAAAAGAGGGAGAGGAAGCACGAGAGAAGGATAATGAATAACAATGATTTAACGGCGATAACGAAAAAAGGCAACCAGGAGCTGTCGCTAAATTCTCTGCTTCACGTTCCTGCATATCCACCTGCATGCCAGACTTAAGGGACCTAGGTGCACAACGCGAAGCGCCAATGCAGCTTTGTATGCATATATATATATATATATGTATATGTGTGTACTGGGTGTATATATATGGCTACATACATATAGACATATGTACATACCTACATACATGCATGTATGCATACATACACACATCGATACATACATACATCGATACATACATACCTACATACATACATACATACGTACATACATACATACATGCATGCATACATACATACATACAAACATACATACATACATGCATACATACATGCATACATACATGTATGCATATATGTATTTGTATGTATATACATACATACATACATACATACATACATACATACATACATACATACATGTATGTATGCATGCATGCATGCATGCATGCATGCATACAGACATGCTTACATGAATGCATACATGCATGCATACATACATGCACCCATACATACACACAGTCACGTACACGTAGATATACACACCTATCTACATACGCATGCATGCATGCATGCGTACATCGATCACATATATACACACATACATACATACACATATACATACGTACATACATACATACATACATACATACATACATACATACATACATACATACATACATACACATATACATATACATATAGATATACATATACATATACATATACATACATATACCTACATACCTATAGCTATACGCGCATGCATGCACACATGCATGCATATGTACATGCACGCATGCAAACATAGATCAGTCCACACATGTATGCATGTATAAATATACATATAGGTACGCATGTCTATATAAGTATATATCAACATGTACGTACACACATGCATGTTTGTCAACATACACACCTACACAGTTACGCACGTACATAGATTCCTAAATACATGCATACATGCATACATACATGCACCCATACATGCACACACATACATACGTACATGCATACATAAATTACATGCACACGTGCATGCATGCATACATACATACACACATGCATGCATGCACGCATACGTACGTACATACATGCGTATGTGCATACATGCATATACACATATAGACAGACAGACAGACAGACAGACAGACAGACAGACAGACAGACAGACAAACAGACAGACAGACAGACAGGCAGGCAGGCATATATGCGTACATATATATATATATATGGTATATACATATATATATGTATACCTGCATGCATGCATGCATACAGACTTGCATACATGCATGTTGGTAGCATCTCCAAATGCATGTCTGCGTGCATGGTTATGTGTATATATCTGTATATACATACACACATAATATAGCTAGAAATATACAGATGTTCCTCTCGCTCTCTCCCTACTCGGGCCACGACCCAGCACGCCGCGTCGTCACGCGGTCGCGGAAGTATGCCGTCTCCCTGGGCCTGCCTGGCAACACTTACGCTTCGGCGCACCCGCGCGATAAAGCCGCGCATCCCGAAGTATCACTGGCTACGCGCACTCCAGCAGGGGGCTGGGCATGGGGGGCTGGGCAGGATCGCCAAGGCGGCGCCGCTCCCCTCCGCCTCTGGGGGGCTCGCGCTTCATCCACAACACCCACTGTTCAGCAGGAGGGCCACGGCAACGAGACAGAGGGGCACGACGATGAAGCCCAGAGACTCCCCAGCCGCCCTTCGCTCCCCCTCCCCAGCCCATTCCCCGTGCCGTCCAAAGCATCGCATCGCCGCCCCCTTCATCTCCAAGTCTCAGGCTTCTGGGGGGTCCCCAAAATCATCTTGCCATGGGAAACCACGGGCACGCCCACATCCGTACATCCGTAACAACGAATGCTGAAGTTTGTCCCGCCGTTCCTCCCTCCCCCCCCGCTTGCCCATTCCCCCCGCCCGCCCCCCCCCCCCAACCCCACCCCACCCCACCCCACTCACCCCTCCCCCCATCCCCCAAGCCTGGCCCACAGCATGGTTCTAACGCAGGAAACCTCCAGCGTGCCCTTTCTGACCAGCGAAGACAGAGTCATACAGATTTCCCGCAATTCACCTCCTCCTCCTCCTCCTCCTCCTCCTCCTCCTCCTCCTCCTCCTCCTCCTCCTCCTCCTCCTCCTCCTCATCCTCCCCCAGTCCTGTTCCTTATAAGAAACTTCTCCCTGTCGCACCCCGAGGCCAGTTTTTAGGGCGGGCCGGGCGTTTCGCCTGAGACTTCCTCACCATTTATGACTCTGAAGCTTTAAAGTGGCAACAGTTTCACCAATGAAGGGCGGGTCCTTTTCAAAATGTGGCTCTCGCCTTAGCGCCGCGCACATTCGTTTTTTGTTTTTATTGCAAGAGTTTCACGGATTGAGGGCGGTTCCTTTTCAAAATGTGGCTCTCGCCTTAGCGCCGCGCACATGATTGAAAAAAGCTTCACGGATTCCCATGATCAGCGTACCAGAAATAGTGTTTTAGACGGTCTGGATTATGCGGGTGCAACAACTATGTTGATTCGCGGTGTTGAAGTCCCAGAAACGGCGTTCTGGCACGATTCCGGATCGTCAAAACGCAGCAGTCAAGTTAATCCGTGGCGTTGAAATCCCGAGAACAATGTTTTGTCATGCTTCGGGGTCTTCAAACGGTTGTCTTCCAACGAGGCAGTTCCCTCAATGGAGATGAACCGTTGTATGGGGCCTATGAAAAGGGAGCTTGGAGGGAGGGATAATTCCAACCACGTTGATGACTCTTCGGCTTACACTGGTCCTCCTCCTCCTCCTCCTTCTCCTCCTCCTCCTCCGCCTCCCCTCCTCCTCCTCCTCCTCCTCCTCCTCCTCCTCCTCCTCCTCCTCCTCCTCCCTCCTCCTCCTCCCCCTCCTCCTCCCCCTCCCCCCGCGTGAAGCCCCCCTCACAGGATCACGAGCAAGCACGGGGAACCGCACTCACGCCCTTCCGGCCGCAGCTCCCATACCCCTCCCCCCCTCCACCGCTTGCTCCCGGCCCCCCCTCCCCCCCTCACTGCCCCCCCCCCCGCCTGCACGCACACAAGGCCGATCTTCCACCGCCGCTACCACAGGTAGGAGAGGGAGAGGAGGGAGGAGGAGGAGGAGGAGAAGAGGAGGAGGAGGAGCAGGAGGAGGAGGACGAGAAGGAGAATAAGGAGGAGAAGGAGGAGGAGGAGGAGGAGAATGAGGAAGAGGAGGAGGAGGAGGAGGAGGAGGGCCTTGGGCATTGGGCCAAGGCTTTGAGACACACGGGAGAACACTCAGAGCGCTTCCTCGACAGAGGGAGCCTGGCTTCCCGAGGTCTTCCACGACTCCCCCCCCGCACTGTCCGATGGTTCCCCTCGGCGGTCCGAGGAGGCTTCTCCAGGGGTCTCCGTGGGAGGCCTCCCCAGACCCCCTCACGTCGTGAAAAAATCCGGACGGAAGGTTCTTCGCTATTTTCGGCAAGCCGGGGGCGCTTCCAGGGCCTGGGCAGCGGCAACAAAAACGACTCGGGATGAAAAACCAGTCCCGGGGAAGGTGTTCAGACCCCTGGGGCAGACATTGCAAAAAAACACGACGCCTGGGGTCTGGGTGTGAGTAAGTCTGGGTATGAGTAAGTCTGAGTGTGAGTAAGTCTGTGTATGAGTAAGTCTGGGTATGAGGAGGAGAGGGGAGGAGAAGGAGGAGAAGTCGGCGGCGTCCAAGAAATAACAAGATTCCTATCTTAGGATAAGGGGAAAAAAACACGACGCCTGGGGTCTGGGTCTCGGGGGCATCGCAGAGAATCCTTCAGGGATGCCTCGAGGGGCAGTGAAAAGGCGCCGGCCCCAGGCAGGCTTCCAGGGGTCTCCCCGAGGAGGCCTCTTAGGGGGCAGTGCAAGGAATCCTCCGCAGAAACCTCGAGAAGCCAGTGGACGGCACCAGTTCTCCAAACTGGCGCTCGGTGCCCATTGAGCACCGGCGGGGCGACACTGGCCACGGCATTGCCACGGCCGCTGCACGGTGCAGAACAAAATTAACCCCGTTCGGGGGCCTCCTGAATAGGTCCTGAGCACGGGGGGACCAACCCAGACCACCGACGTCGTGATTTTTTCATGGCGCGACCCCCAGAGGTCCGGACCCATTCCCAGGGACCGGCTTTTCATCCTGAGTCGTTTTTGTGACGGCCCCGAGGCCCACCCAGGAAGGGCCCCCGGAGGCGGGAGGAGGAGGAGGCGGCGGAGAAGGAGCAAGAGGAGGAGGGAGAAGAAGGGGGGAGGAGGGAGGAGGAGGAGGAGGAGGAGGAGGAGGAGGAGGAGGAGGAGGATAAGGAGGAGGAGGAGGACGCGAGGGAGGAGGAGGAGGGAGGAGGAGGAGGAGGAGGGGGAGGGAGGAGGGGGCCCCTGGAGGCGAAAATAGCGAAGAACCTCCCGTCGCGATGTTTGTTACAACGCAGGAGGTCTCCTCCTTCCTCCTCCCTCCTCCTCCTCCTCCTCCTCCTCCTCCCTCCTCCTCCTTCTTCCCCTCCTCCTCCTCCTCCTGATCCTCCTCCTCCTCCTCCTCCTCTCCTCCTCCTCCTCCCCTCCTCCTCCTCCTCCTCCTCCTCCTCTCCTCCTTCCTCCTCCTCCTCCTGGAGGCGATTACAACGCGAGGAGGTCTGGAAAGATCGCACCGCATCGCCGACGCACCCGCGACGCGTCGGCGACCTCGGGGCGAACAAGCCCTGGCTCCAGGCCCCGCCGCGTCGCCGACGCATGGGCGATGCAGCGCGGTCTGGGCGTGAGGAGGAGGAGGAGGAGGAGGAGGAGGAGGAGGAGGAGGAGGACGAGGTGGAGGAGGAGGAGGAGGCGGAGGAGGAGGAGGAGGAGGAGGGGGGAGGAAGAGGAGGGAGGGAGGAGGGAGGGGAGGGAGGGGGAGGAGGAGGAAGGAGGGAGAAAGGGTGGGCTTCAACAGCTCAGGTCCGATTCAGGAAGTCGGGAGGAACTAAATAATCTTCCGCGTGGTCCCTCGCGGATTTGATACTCGCACTTCCCGAGCGGCCACAAAAAGGCACAGCAGCCGCCAGCCAGAGTAACATGAGGAGGATGCGGAGGGCAGGGACTAGGAACGAGGAGGAGAGGAGGGAGGAGGGAGGAGGGAAGGGGGAGAAGGAAGGAGGGAGGGAGGAGGGGGAGGGAGGAGGGAGAGGAGGAGGAAGGAGGGAGGAGGGAGGGGAGGATAAGGGAGGGCTGACGGAGGAAGAGGAGGGAGGGAGGAGGAGAAAGAGGAGGAAGGAGGGAGGAGGGAGGGGGGGAGGACGGAGGAGGGAGGAGGGAAGGACGGAGTGGGAGGAGGAGGAGGGAGGGAGGAGGGAGAAGGGAGGAGGAAGGAGGAGGGAGGAGGAACGAAGCGGGAGGAGGAGGAAGAGAAAGAGAAAGGATTGATAATGAACTAGGGACACGAGGACGCGGAAGAGGAAAAAGCGGGGGGCAACGGGGGGATGAGAAGGGGGCGGAAAGAGCGGGAGCGGAGGCGGTAAGGAAAAGGTTCCCTCCCCTCCCGCCCGCCCTCCCACCCCCTCCTCCTCAATCACAGCCCCACCCCCTCCTCCAATCCCACCCCCCACCTCCAAGCCTCCCCCCCCGCCCGCCACATCCACCCCTTTCCCCCATGCCCGCCTCCACCTCTTCGGCCCTCTGGGACTAGCAGTGGTGGACGACGTTATGGACACCCTCAACCCTGGAAGAGCTGGAAGGTGGGCGGGAAGGGGATCGAGAGAGGGAGGGCTGGGACTGGACTGGCGGACGTGCCGGGATCCTTCAGCCCTGGTGATGTCATCCCGTATCCTTATCCACCTCCTCATCTTCCCTCGTACCTCCTAGTTCGCACATGATCATTATTCTGCTGGTCGCCATCATCATCTGCATCGTCTTCTTCGTCGCACTCAACATGTTCTTCCTCTTCAGTGTCCTCCTCCTCTACCTCTTCTTCTTATTAGGTTCCTTTTTAAATCCTCCAACTCCTCCTCCTCCTCATCTGCGTCATCCTCCTCAACATCATCCGCATCATCATGATCAGCATCATCATCAGCATCACCATTGTCATCATCAGCAGCCTCATCAGCATCATCATCATCATCATCATCATCATCATCATCATCATCATCATCATCATCATCATCATCATCATCATCATCATCATCATCATCATCATCATCATCATCGTCATCGTCATCGTCATCGTCATCTATCATCATCATCATCATCAGCAGCAGCAGCATCACCATCAGTAGCATCATCATCATCCTCAGCAGCACCACCATAATCATCAACACCATCATCAACGTCATCATCCGCATAATCAGCATCATCACCATCACCAGCACCATCGTCAGCAGCACAATCATGCTCAGCATAATCCTAATTATCAGCATCACCATAATCACCATCACCGTCACCATCACCATTATCACTATCAGCATCAGCATCATCATCATCGTCGTCATCGTCATCGTCATCATCAACGTCTTCGTCGGCGTTGTCATCGTCGTCGTAGTCGCAGTCGTCATCAGCAATATCATCACCGTCATCATCACCGTTAACATCATCATCATCACCACCACCATCATCATCATCATCATCATCATCATCATCATCATCATCAACCGCATCATGTTCATCATCGTCATCATCGTCATCATCACCGTCATCAGCATCACCATCGTCATCAGCATCAGCATCATCGTCGTCGTCGCCGTCATCATCGCCGCCATCGTCATCACAATCGTCATCGGCAGTAGCAGGATCGGCATACGCGGCAGCATCATCAGCAGCAACAGCATCAGCATCATCATCAGCATCCGCAAAATCACCGCCATCATCATTGCCGTCGTCATCGCCGTGGCCATCATCGTCATCATCATCAGCAGCAGCATCAGAATTATCACAATCACCATCACCCTCCTCCTCATCATCAGCATCATCAGTATCACCATCGTCATCAGCAGCGTCATTATCATCAGCAGCAGCAGCATCGTCATCGGCAGCACCATCACTTTCACGCTCGCGCCCGTGCGAGCGGCTTGCGAAGGAGCGCGGGGGCCCACGCGCACGGGGCAGCAGGGCAGCCTGGCCGCCGAGCGCGCGGGGGCCGCGGCGCCGCGCTCAAAGAGAAGGAGCACCTCCGGGCCGCCCAGAGCGGAGCAGCCCGAACCGGCGGGCTTAACCTGGCAGACGAGGCGCCTCGCGAGCAGGGTCGGAAGCGCGGCGCCGACGCCTGCCGCCTCGGCGAGGCCGCGTGGGAGAGGAGGGGGGCCGAACCGCTGCAGAAGCCGCGGAGGGCGAGGAGCGCTGTCACGCTCGCGCCCGTGCCGGCGGCTTCCGAGCGAGCGCGGGGGCCCACGCGCGCGGGACAGCAGGGCAGACCGGCCGCCGAGCGCGCGGGGGCCGCGGCGCCACGATCGGGAGGAGGAGATCTCCTGGCCGCCGAAGAAGTCGGAACAGCCATACCCCGGCTCAAAGCCCTTGCGAAGTGACGGGGTGTGGGCGGCCGGCCGCGATATTGCGGGTTGGCCACGCAGCTGGGCCAGCATTCAAGGGCGCAGCGATAGGGCGGTCGCTAAAAGTAGCGCGGAATCGAACTCAGCACGGACGGGCTCAGGGAAAACGGACTACACCGACGAGGCGGCGGCAGCACGGAAGTAGCGCACCGCGCTGGACTGCTGACGATGCAGACACGCTCGAAGACTCGAAGGGCGTCTGCCGAGGCGATGGAAACGCCCGTGGAGCCCGAGCCGCGCAAGTAGGCGGGTGACCACAGAGCCCCGCAGGTGCCCTGCAGCAAGTACTTCCGCAGTGGCGCTGTCCGAGCAACGAGCGCGCAGCGTCGGAGAAGACCGCTCGGTCTGTGGCGCCAGGCTGAAGGAAAAGGAATCCCCGCCCGGCGGGAGCGCGGCGGCGGCGTCGAGAGACTCGTCGCGCGCAGGAGGCCGCGCCCTCCCCCTGAACGGAGCGGGCGGCAGCGGCAGCCGAGGCGGCCGCGCGAGGAGCGCCCGACGCCGCTGCTGCCGCGGAGCGCCGGCTGCGCCTGGGGAGCAGGGCCCGAGGCGGCGGCGCGGGCCGCCCCCTCCGGCCTCCCTCCGACGGCGCGGACCCCTCCCTGCGGCGCCGCAGCGGCCTCGCTGGAGGCGCGCGTGCCAGTCGAGCGGGGGGGGGGGCGCGATCCGCGCGGCGGCGGCGGCTGCAGCCGCCGGCGCGGCTGCGGTGGCCGCGCGGAGCCCCGCCCCTGGGAGGCGGCAGCAGCGGTAGGGGCGAGACGCCTCAAGGCAGCCGTTCGATTGAACGCCTAGGGCGGCGCGAACCAACGTGCAAAGCAGGAGTCCAGCAACGCGCAGCTGCGCGCCGAGAGATGGCGAGGAACCGCGAAAGCAGGAGCCGCCGCGGCACAGGGCACCAGGCGCCACGTCCAGGAGCCATGCGACACAGACTCGAAGGCAACGAGCGAGCGCGGCCGATGCCCGCGAAAGGCGACAGCGAGAATGAAACTCACGCGCGAAAGAAAGGATCGCGCGCTACACGGGTGGGAGCCGTCAAGCCCCCGGCCCGGCCCGCCCCGCGCCACCGGCGCGCGCGGCGCGCGCTGGGGCGGCGGGTGCCAAGACAGAAGGGCGCGCCGTCGCAGAGTCTGAAATCGGCTACACGCAAGAGTGACCCTGGGTAAGAGTGACCTTTGGTGCGCGGCTTTTGGGGGGCCGCGGGGGACCAAACCTTGGCGCGCAAGCCGCTGCTCTTGCTTCGGTTTCAGTCATCTGGGGACCCATCTGTGCCCGCACCACAGGTCACTCCGGCGAAAGGTCACTCTTACGTCTAGTCGATCTGGGGCACCCTCAGGTCGCGCCGGTCCGCGACGCCTCCGCCACCTCGACCCTGGCCTCGCTGCCAGGAGCGCCCAGAGGCTGGCCTCTGCAGTGGGCGCCTGGTGGCGGGCGCCCTCCCTGGGTGGACCGCGGCGCCGCCGTCCAGAGCGCGACGGGCGCGCTGAATGCACCGTTTTCGGGCTCTCGAGGCCCGACAGGGGACCTGGGACTGTCAGAAAACGACCCAGGATGAAGATCTCGTCCTGTGGGGACTTGGCGGCGCGCAGGAAAAGGGGCAGTGGGAGAGGTGGAAGGCCTCTTAGAAGGAGGCCGTATCTTAGAAGGCGCCAGCCTTACACGGAATCGGTAGACAAGGCCCGCGCCTCCTGAGAAGCAGGGGTGCTTCTCAGAAGCCTTCCCCCCTCCCCCTACCCCCCTGCGCGTGGCCGATCCTCCTCCTCCTCCTCCTCCTCCCTCCTCCTCCTCCTCCCTCCTCCTCCTCCTCCCTCCTCCTCCTCCTCCTCCTCCTCCTCCTCCTCCTCCTCCTCCTCCTCCTCCTCCTCCTCCTCCTCCTCCTCCCCCTCCCCCTCCTCCCCCTCCTGCCCCCCCACTGCGCGTGGCCGAGTATGGGTGTGTGCGCGCCCCGGCAGCACAAAGACCGCAGCCATCGTGCCATAACTACCAGGAGGAGCGCCAGACGAGCGGAGAGAAAAAGCGGGTCTTGCGCACGGTGGGTTGGTCACATGCACAGGCTTCCAGAGGTCCGCGCGAGGAGGAGGAAGAGGAGGAGGAGGAGGAAGAGGAGGAGGAGGAGGAGGAGGAGGGAAGAGGAGGAGGAGGACAGAGAAGGAAGAGGGCAGAGGAGGAGGAGGAGGAGGAGGAGGAGGGCAGAGGAGAAGGAGAAGAGAAGAAGCGGGTCTTGCGCACGGTGGGTAGATTGGTCTTTGGGCTGGTTGGTGGACGCATTGTCTGAAGTGTCCTTTCGGCAGTGGTGCCTCAGCGCCGAGGGAAGGCAGGGCATCCATATTGTATAGTGTTTCTGATCGAAAGCGCTGAGCAGGCAGGAATCCAGCCAAGGTTGCAGAGCCTTGGCCGCCGCATCAAGACATCGCCGCCAGAGCGTGCGTGTTGCCTCTGCACTCCCTACGCACGATGGCATGGTGACCTTACGCGGTGGCTCACGCGGGCCGCCAGCGCGGCACGCCACGTTGGAAGCGAGGGCGCCCACGCGCGATCTTGCGCGAGCAGCTTACGCGCCAATGCCCGCACAGTCGACCCCGTTTTTTCCTGGCGGGGCGAAGCCCCTCTTGGCCCCAGAGGCGCCCGCAGTGCGCGAGGGCGCGCCCCGGATGGCCATCAAGAGGACCCAGGGAGCAGCGACCCCGTTCCGAGCCCGAGCTGGTCCGCGTTTCGGCGTCTTGGCCAAACGCGAGCGGATGCGAGAGCACGCGTGCGCGGCGGAGGCGAATCTCGCGTGCACTGACTGGAGAGCAGACAAGCCACCCTCAGAAGGAGCAACCCGACAGGCGAAGCCGTGTAGCAAACGTGCCCAAGGGAAGAATTGAACAGGACGGGGCTGTTTCGTAAACGCACGAGGCCGTCTAGCAAACGCCAATGATGGGAGCGGGAAGATTCTGATCAGAAATACAAGGACCCCTGACCCTGTGGGAGGGGACCTAAGTTGGGAGGGACAGAAACATTAGGGATAGGGTGTCTTTTCTGCAGATGTTTCAGACCAAACCGACCAGAATTATCATCCCTAATGCGAAGACGGGAACCCGAGTGAGACCACGTCTTCATCGTGTTATTAACGTTAGAAGTTCTTGTGTGCTCGATGACTCCTCCTCCTCCTCCTCCTCCTCCTCCTCCTCCTCCTCCTCCTCCTCCTCCTCCTCCTCCTCCGCCTCATCCTCATCCTCATCCTCCTCCTCCTCCTCCTCATCCTCATCCTCTTCCTCTTCCTCCTCCTGCTCCTCCTCC